AGATCTCTTTAAATCCTGGTAATTGGAAATATTCTCACAACATACGTCAATTATAAAAAATAGCTTAAACTGCGTGATTAATCTGAACAGCAGTTCCTTAAAATCTTACATTTGTTGGCAACAGTACCTGCAACTCATAGTTAATCTGTAAACGACGGCCCTCTAATATTAGCAAAATTCCTCCCAACCAAACATTCAACGTAAAATTACGCAACCCGCCCTTCCCAATAGTTACGTAATATTACGCTTCCCGCCATTAAAGTGTAAACGGCATTTCATTCACATTTATCCCAAACATCCTGTCTTTGTTCCGATGAATGCTCTTCTCCATCCAAACATGTGTATGTTTGTACCCCTATTGAACAGGCTTGTTGTACTTAAGTCTTCGTTTACAGTCTACACTTGGCGATTTCCTGGTTCTGGTCGATATTAGAGTCCATTAGACTTGTTCTTGCTCTTGGACTGCTATGATATACGTTTTTTGTTTCACGTTTGGTGCCCCTGCTTCGTATTCTTGCCCATTTCAGCTCTTCCATGACCACTTAAGCTGGTCGAATAAACTGGTAAATTGTCTCCCTTGTTCTTCTTACATTCCTTTGCATTTTCGGCCCTTCGTGTTCTTTACTCTTTTTCTCTAAAACCTTGAATTATCTCTTTACAGGTCTTCCCTTTTCTGTATGCGATTTTCAGCTTCCGTCGCGTATTTTGTGACCGACCGGCAAGTCCTTTTAAAAGCCATCTTTCTTAGGTTCATCATCAAGATTTAGATTTTGTTTCCATTCTCCCAGACCAGAAAAGGGCAAGGTATCTGATTCCTCATCCAGCAGAGGTGCAAAGTCGTCTTTAATAATTTGCAGCTTAGTCTCCGAAAGTCTCTGCACTCTTCTCTTACACGCTCTCTCGACTCTTTTCTGTGATTATCATCGTTTTTATTATTATTATTATTATTATTATTATTATTATTGTTATTATTACTATTATTATTATTATTATTATTATTATTATTATTACTATTATCATCATCATTATTATTATCACTATTATTATTATTATTATTATTATCATTATTGTTATCATTATCATAATAACATCAATATTAATAACAATTATTATCATTATTGCTATCATCAATTATCATTACTATTAATACTACTACTACTGCTACTGTTATTGTTATCATTATTATTATCATCACTATCATCAATATTATCATAATCAATATAATCACCAATATCATCATCATCATCATCAACATCACCATCAATATCATCAATATCCTCTGAAAATACATCGATGTCGGTTCCTAAGAATATCCCTTTCTCCCGAGGCTAAAAGTAGGTCAACCTTTAGCCTATAAGTGGATCATCTCTCCGACCTTTTCCTCAATGCATCTGCGGGAGAGGAGTGACCTTTTTGTAACTTTGAGAAGGCAGTATTTTCTCTATTTAGCTGACCTTCTTTTTTTTCTTTTTAT